CGGGGGGAGCGGTGCCGGAGGTGCGGGGCGCGGTGCCCTGCGCGCTGTCCGCGGTGCTGAAGCGGGCGCTACCCCGACGGCCGCGGCTTCAGGCCGGTGTCCGCCGTCCCCCCCGCGCCGCCGCCCTCGCCATGTCCCGCCGCGGATCGTCGTCCCCCCCCGCGCCTCCCCGCTCTCCGCCGGGGCGCACGGCCTCCGTCAGGCACTGAGCATCTTCCCCCGGTGCCCAGCCCCTGAAATACTCCAGCCGCGGAGCCTCCCGCGGCGACTCATGCGCAGACGAGCGGCTGCGAGGCACAGGCTCAGCCGGGGAGCGCGGAGTCGGTCTGATCCACTCCCGGACCGCAGGCGAGAGCAACAGGAAGCCCAACTTTCCGCTGATGCGCAGCTCAGGAAGGGTAAGACCCGGCGAGGAGTTGTTGGGAGTTTAATCCCCGTGCTGTGGTCAGGCACACCCTGAGTGCACCGGCTGCATCAACATTCCTGGGACCTTTCGAAAAGCTAGTGGCTGTGCCCCTTGGAAGGTTCCCCCCCCCTCCTTCCATCTAAAGGATTACTTGCCCTTCTCCCCCCTTTTATTTCATAGTGCCTAGAGGAGCTACGGTTGCCCTTTGGGTATTCACACTGTCCTCATTGGCCAACTGTGAGGGATGTTGCTCGGTTAGAGACTTCACTTTGGCTGCTTGGACTCACACATTTCAAGCCCCAGCTGGGTGAACAAGTGCTCAAGTTAGGGTGGTGCTGGCACATTCTGTGGAAGATTAAAGTCTCTCTCTTGTTATTTCCCGTTTACACTGTTATCACATCAGTGTGATGGTAAGAAAGGTTCTTTCATTTGTCACATCGTGGCAAAACCTGAAAAGACAGACATGAAAGAGGCCAGAAGTTCTCCCTCTGCACCTGGCAGGAAAGTGAATCACACAGCTAATTCCCCAAAATTCCATAAATCTTTGTCTTAGGTTAAAAAAAAAAAAAAAAAAAAAAAAAAAAAAAAAGAGGGAGTAAGTTTTGGTGCATCAAAACACTAGTACAGAAAAAAGCTGCCATTCCTAATCACTGTCACATTTTACAGTTGATCGCCAGAACTGACACGAAGAAAAAGAAGAAGAAAAGGTACCTTTCCCACTATCCTGGGGAAATGCTGTATTGTGTATGATGTCTCTACAATGTAGCCTTGTCACGCAAGTGTGACCACTGTGTGAATAATGGCACATAAAACTGCTTGAAAGAACCTGAAGGCAATGGTTCAGTTTTTTGTTTTGTTGTTTTGTTCTGTTTTTTTTTTTTTCCAACAGCAGTTATAAGTTTTGGGTCAGGCCCTAATTGAAAAACTTGCTATGGTAAGTTATATGTCCTAAGGAAACAGCAAAGCAACAAGATGTGAGATGTGTTATTTGGAAGACAACCAGTACTGTACTGTTTCTCAGGATGGATAGAAAGTGAATGTTTTCTTTGATCAGAAAGCTGTCATTTCCAAAGTTAAAAAACAGCAGATACATTTGACATTTCTTATGCTTGACAAGCAAAAATCCAATATATATCTGTGTAAGCATTTGAGGAAAAAAAAAAAAACCACCCACAAAAGTATGACAATACCAGTTATCTCAGAGTTCATTTGTTGCACTTCTGTCATCAGGGAATCAACATTGTGGAGCCAGAGTGCACAGAGTGTTGGGAAGGACTGAGCTGTCATGGGAGAAGCTGGCTGTGTCCAGGAGAGCTGAGGTCCTGCAATTACTCCCTCTCTCACAGCAGCAATTCCTGAGGTTCCTACTAGTCAGAACCCACCTATGACTTACCTTTCATTTAATAGTATCACAAGGTTAAGGAGCTTTTATGTTAACCATCTGGGATTAGATGTGTAGTGATGTCAGGTGGGGTAGATGCTATTTTATATCATCACAGAGACAGCCTAGATGTGCTGTTCTCTTACTGTGATAGCTACTTGAGAAGCTATTTCCTGTTGGATCCAGACAGAAGGCAAGTTCTGTCCCTTTCTCTCTCTTTTCTATGCATGCACACAAAATTTCTCTCATACAGCTTTTTCAAATGAAGAACTAATTATTTCTGAAAACTAATGGAGAAAAAACAAAATAAGACAAGGGAAAAAAAAAGATGGCAAGTAGCAGAAAACCGGGAAAAAAATATTCTGCTTTTGTACATGGACAGTAAGTTCTGTGGTCACCTGCAATAATATCCTGGTCTTAAAGAACCTGGTTGGGATGGCATTGTTAGATTTGTCTCTTTGTTTACAGAAGACCTTTGCCAGAGTGAAAAGTTAAGCATTTACATAACTTCCTGAGGTATGGGGGTCCTCTGCTGACCCTTTTCCATTTACAGGCAACATCCCATAACACTTCATACCAGCGACCTTTCAAATATTGATGCTCAAATGCCCATTTACAGCTTATGAGGCTGAAAACAGCCACCTCTGTGAGACCAGAAGGCTTGAACTTGCCACTCTGAGTTTGCAAAAGTAGGCATCTGCCACCTTACCCCTGAAAACACATATACTCATGCTACCTTTTTGCATATAAACAGACATGTAAATCACTGCAAATGATCACAGTGGTCTTACTAAACATGCATATTTTCCCAATCAAGATCTTACAGTACTTACTTGGATTCTCAAGGATGTTATCTTGATTGAAACTGGGGACTTGGAGACTGCTGCAATACAAATAAGAAAATGAAAAAAAAAAAAAAAAAAAGGTTCTTGTCATTAATTATCCTTTAATAAACATAGACTATTCAGTTAGCACAGATTAGGTAAGTACTTGAGATTTTTATTCTAATAGCTGCATCATTCATTAAATCTACACATTCATCTGTTCTAAATATTGACCACAACTTATTGGATTTAATGGTTAATGGACTGTGTTCATTGGAAAGGAACAGGAGACGATTCAAATTCCCTTTTAGTTTCACTCCAGGAGAGATGTGTCAAAAAGAAAAAAAAAAAAAAAAAAGAGGTTCTTGTCATTAATTATCCTTTAATAAACATAGACTATTCAGTTAGCACAGATTAGGTAAGTACTTGAGATTTTTATTCTAATAGCTGCATCATTCATTAAATCTACACATTCATCTGTTCTAAATATTGACCACAACTTATTGGATTTAATGGTTAATGGACTGTGTTCATTGGAAAGGAACAGGAGACGATTCAAATTCCCTTTTAGTTTCACTCCAGGAGAGATGTGTCATGCAAATTTCAATACAGATCACAACTGAGCATAATTCAGCTCTAATCAATGTATTCTGCAATGGCTAGGAACACGTTTAATTTGGTTCTAATTTTAAGAAAGTACCATGAAAGGAGGAGATCTCAAACAAATCATATCAAATAATTTGCAAGAACAGAGAAAAGCAACCCTTTCCCCCAGATTCTCTTATGATAGGCAAAGAGAGGGAAATTAAATTACATTAACCAATGTAGGGGGAAATGGAATGACTCACAGAACTGATGTTAAAAACAAAGCTTTTCACTTCTAGGCCACCTGCTAAAAAGTGACCCATTTCAAATGTAAGCAAGAATGGTTAATACCCATAAGATTTTTCAGTATGTTCTGTAAAGAGCTCTGATACTCTGAGTTAATGACAAGCACATGGAAATGTCTTCTCACCACCACAATGGCAGCAGGTGTGCTATTGTTGTCACATTAGTTTTAGTTAATGAAACTTTGGTGAAGCTAGAATCCTTCAGTCCATCAAGACTCAGAAGCAACTTAATTTTTTTTATTCCCCCATTATTTTTTATTCCCTCTTTCTTTTCAGTGTCCTGCTTTATTATGATTTGAACTATAGGGTCTTTGAGCAAGCAGGTTGTCCATACCTGCTAGTCTTAACACAGCTTTTATTTTTTCTGGAACAATACAGCAAATAAGCAAGTTGGTAGTAGTAACGTAAGAGCTGACATGCTGTTAGTCTCTTCAGAAAAGATGTGAGGCCTGACTCATCAGTCTAATACAATTCTGCAACACTGTTCCTGTGGCAGAATTCCTGTGGGCTTATTTACCACCTGTGGAATAGCTTTATCATAAAGATCTTCCTAACATGGAATACAGCCAAACCGAAAGGTCTACACATTCCTCCTGTAGATCCTACTTTGTGGGCAAAAAAGGGAGCAGTAAAAAGCATGTGTATTTATCATAACTACCTGGGAAGGGAGAAGAGCAAAAAAAATATGAAGTTCAATCACACAGCAGTCCTGCTGACTGAATTTATTTCAAAATTGCTTAAATATTGTAAGAATCTCATAATTCAACAAATAATCTTGCAGTTGTATTAAAACTATGCACTTGTAGAAATCTTTTGGCTCATGTTTGTGCAAACTAGACGTATTCTTACAGTCTACAAAAACTGATATCAAAATAATTCAAGAAAATATTTGATTTTGGGGAATGGAGCTGAGGTTTGAAGAAATAGGTAAAAGTAGCTCAAGAGTAACTGGTGAGACCACACCTTGAATACCATGTTCAGTTTTGGTCTTCTCGCTACAAGAAAGACCTTAAGGTGCTGGAGCACATCCAAGAAGAGCAACGAAGCTGGTGAAGGGTCTACATAACAAGTCTTATGAGGAGCAGTGGAGAGAACTAGAGCCATTCAGTCTGAAGAAAAGGAGGCTCAGGGGAGATCTTATTATTCTCTACAACTACCTGAAAAGAGACTGTAGTGAGATAGGTGTTGGTTTCTTTCGCCAAGTAATAAGTGACAGGATGAGGAAAAACAGTCTCAAGTTGCACCAGGGGAGCTTTGGAGTTTTAGATTGGATATTAGGAAAAATGTCTTCACCAAAAGGGTTGTCAAGCATTGGAACAGACTGCCCAGTGAAGTGGTTTAGTCACCATCCCTGGAGGAGCTTAATAGATGTGTAGATGTGGTTCTTAGGGACCTGGCTTAGTGGTGGACTTGGCAGTGTTAGGTAAATAGCTGGACTCGATGATCTTAACTGTCTTTTCCAGCCTAAAAGATTCTATGATTCTATTCTTCATGCTCCTTAATGGAAATGGAAATACACGGATACTGGAGGATGAAAGAAAAACAGTAAAATATTCACAAAATTCTAAACAGTTATAGCTGAGATACAATTCCAAAAATAGATGTGTATGGATATGTGTCAATGTTTCCTCTTTCTGCCACCAATTCGTTTTGTCTTCCTCTTCCACAATGCAAAGTAGGTAGAACCAGCATTCTAGATTGCAAGATTCAGCTTTGGAATGAAGCTGGCCAGATTTTCCTAGAGTACAATGCAAAAATGTGAATGTACAAATATGCTATTCTACTGAGCAGCAAAATATATTGATTTCAGCAAAGTTTGTGTCAGGAGGTAAACAAACACTAACTAGATTTTACATCCAACAGCTTTACAGCTGTAATGCAGGTCTGAAATATTAATGGAGGAATACTGTTCCCTTAATCAAATGGCACAAGAACTTGAATCTTTCTTCCATTATTCAGTGTCAAGTTCTTCAAAATACCTGGACTCTACCCATTCTCTCCTCAGACTAGTTCTACAACAGAGTTACTCCTGATTTAATGGAATATTCAGGACTTGGCCCATAACCAGAATTTTTCATTTTGCAAATTCTTCTGCAGTCTTAAGAATAAATAAAATGGTAAATGGAATCCTATTGAATCCCGATGTAAGAGTACATGTAGCGTCCTTCTATTTTCATCTATTTTGTCCAATTCTTAAGGCTTTGTTATATCGATAGATTTTAACCTGACAGGAATAAAGATTAAAGTGCATTTTTTCTTGCTATTTTTCCACAGTGCCTCACAAACACAGTAGTTCATACTAGCAGTGCTGTACTACACCAGCTTGTTATAAAACTTATCAAAGCTGCAGGCATGGGGATGAAATTCCCAGGAGTCTTTGACTGGCATTTTCAACAAATGTGACAATGTTTAGCACTCCCAGGGGCCAGCAAACATTAAATGGCATTTTTCAGAAACTGCTGAGGCAATTTATTTACTGTTGCAGTGAAGTTCCAGGAGCCAACATATGAAAAAACAGCATGTGTTCTTCTGCTGTACTGTAGAAATTCTCCTTTTCCTGCCTTACTTGCTCAAAATCCCCCACACATCTGACACAGACGGTTTGATTCTGCTTTTCTTGAGTCTGTGCAAGCCCAAGATAAGTCCCATAAAGCCACTGGGAAAACCAACGCAGTGG